TCAAAAATCATACAAAAAAAAATTATCGATTGAAAATTTAGTAGAAATGTGTTTATTCAATATCCTTGAAACTAAAGGAAATAAAAGAGGAATAAACAGTTTGAAAATTTTATTTTCAATTTTTTTTGTTTTACTAGTTTAGAAAGTAAATAAATTTTATATTATATTAAAAAAACAAGACAGTAACAATCAAGAAGAAAAAAAATTAAAGTTTTTATAACATGTCCTTGGACTTTAAATAAAAAAAAATCTAAAACTTTTAGTTTTTAAAACAAAAACAAAAGAGAAACACAACCTATAAAACAATTTATTTTAGTTTTCGAATTTCAAGTTTTTCTAACTTTTTTGAAAAAAATTGTAGGCATTTTAAGTAATTTTTATTTCACATTCTAAGTTTCATTAAATTGCTTGTATTGCGTGCTTAAATATAAAATTTTCTTTAATATTAAAAGAAAACAAAAAATTTTGTGGATAATTTTAATATAGAAATAAAAAATGAAACTCAATTTTCTTAATTTATAAAAAAATGAATCAACAAATAACCATAAAATGCTAAAATAAATTTAGGAATTACAATTACAATTCGGATCTTTAAATCGTACATGATTTAAAGAAATTTTATGAATAATAGCTTACCATATTGTTATCAGTTTGGGAAAGCAAAACAGCCTACTTTATCTAGCATCTACTTTATTTTCTCAGTTTAACTTAATGCATCGAAATTACGAACTTATTTAAGTTTTCAATATGGTTCTAAACTTGAAAATTTAAAAGAGTGAAGCCCTCTACAGTTTAAGGTAATAATAATTTAATTAGAAATTAGTATATCAGTTCTTATGTATGAACATAATGATTTTATATTGAATCATTACATAAAATCTAATGGAAGAAGTTGAAAGAGCTTATACAAATTATGGTATGTCATTAAAATATTTCCTACAAAGAACAGACTGTTCTTACGACTGTTTTACTTATTCAATAATTAAAGTTAGGTTGATTAAGTTAAGCTGATGTTAAAACTGCTATGAGATATTGTTTAGCAAATTAGAATAAATTAGAATTAAGTCTAAAATTAAAATAAATTTTTTTCTATAATCACCATAAATATCAAATAACAAAACTTAAAATTTAATGAATAACAAAAATTGAAAGGATCTAGATATTTTTAAAAAACCTAAACACATAATATTATAACATTCATTAAATCAATTCATCAAACAAATCAATTCTTATTTTAAATAAAATTATATTTTATATATTCAACCTTTAAATGAAACAAAGTAAATGATTATTAAATAAATATGAAAACGATTAAATCTAAATTTCTGCATAAATTATGAGATATGCTTATAAATTATGTGTGCATGCTTTTTTTCTAAGTTTTCAAATGAATATTTACATAAAATATCGACATAATAATTGGCTATTATTATAATTTACATAAATATACTAACATAATACATACATATTTCTATTATTATACAATAAAAGTTCAAAGAACTTAAAGTTTAACGTAATAATTATGATTGTATGTTTACATTCTATGTACTTTATAAGAAACTTTGCATTCGACCAAATGTGGAATTTTTTTATTTTTAAAAGGATATTTTTATATAATTAATGTATGTATATGCGCTCATATAGAATATGTATATCGTGAAATTTCGTATTATAGACTGATTTTTTTTATTATAGACTGAGAACGGAACAAATTTTATGTATTCCTATATGCACACGTTTTATAATATAAATTAATTGAAAATTAATAAAAATAAATACTAGATTTAGAAAATATCCACTGTATAATTTATAATAAGAGTAATAAATTATTTTATTCGTTAATTTGATTTAAATAAAAATCATGATTAAATAATTGAATAGAAATAAATAAATAGGAAGCTCAATTGGTTTCAAATTATTTAAGGAATAACATTTTATTTATATTAAATTTTCATTCCTGAAATTTTTTTTTTTTTGAATCAACACAGAAGAGTCACGTTTTCATCAAAATATACCTAACAGCACACTTACATAAATTCATTTCATATGAATTTCAGCTTTTTAAAGCCCTTAAGCAAATAATTATTAATTTATGCACGACAGTCTGGTTAAAGAATTTAAATTATTAATTTCATATATTTTTGAATTACAAATTTGGATAATAATAAAATTTTTACCCGATTTACTAAACTGGTCAAATTTTAATCCCGCTCATCACTTTACTTCTCTGTATATTTGTACAAACACATACTGCTTCTCTGACTAAACTGTTATACACTGTTTGTGTATAACAGTTTGTATATAACAGTTTAGTCAAACAGTTTGTGTATAACAGTTTAGTCAAATTCTCTTGTTTTTGTATCATTTTTCATTATCAAAGCGAAAAAATATAAAAGCCTTACCAACTTCAAATTCATTAACATTCTTATTTGATCACAGTTTTCCGAATTACAATTATAAATAATTTAAACTTAACCATGAAAAAAAATTGTATGTAATATTTAAAAAATATTAAAAAACCGTAATTCAATACATTCTCCAATAAATAGAAATTATATTTACGGTACCGTCAAGAAGTTTACATCTATACACAATAATAAAATAAGAGTATTGAAAATAAAAGACAAAAGAGAAAACCGTAACAATACGAGTACATCCTTTTTTTCAATAATTTCTATTCTTCATTTGAATATCCTTTATTCTGCAGTTTTAAACCCTTCAAATTCATATATTTACTATATTTACTGTGAATATTTATTTTTATGTTTATTTTCTATATTACTTGTATCACATTATGTATAATAAGGGATCTAAAAAAAAATATATTAAAATTCTTTAAGAAAAAAAAATAAAACAAAAGAAAAAAAATTTTTTTTTTCAATTGCTATATTATTTGCAATATAAGTGGAAGGATTATAGATCGTGACTCTTAAAATATTTAAGTTTTTTGGACTTACCATATGTAAAAGAAATTTTAAAAGTTTATATAGTACAAAATAATGAACAGCGAATTAGAAAAAAAAGGGTGTGTTCCTGTACTATTTTTGTCCACAACACAATTGATAAAGAGAGTTGAAATGTGAAATTCTAAGAGATTATAGAGAGAAAAAATTATAAAATTTTGAGCTTTTTCTCTCATTTACAAAGAAAAAAGGTGCTTAAGGTAACTTTATTACAAAAATCTGCAGAAATTTTTTAACAATCAAATTGAATTTTTGATATATTAATAATTAATCTAATTGAATAAATATTTTCGATTTTAAATTCCAAGTTGGAAAATTTAGTAAACTTTTAAATTTGAATATTAAAGAAACTTTGGTGTTAGGCCATATTCGAAAGTTTTATTCGTTCATGTCTTCCAATTATAGTCCTTCAGCTTGAATATCACAGCATCGACATAACATTCTACTGTAACTAGAACTCATAACAAAATTAGCTCAAAATATTGAACTACAATTCAATATTAAAAATTTTATGTAGATCTGGTAAGATTATATAATATTTATATTTAAAGATCTATTATATTTTACAATATATAAATTGCTGTTTACACACAATCGATTTTGACTAATTCTTATGATGATTTTTAATTCTTTACCTCCTTTCAAATACACAAATCAACATGTATACAAGGTTAATATTACATATTTTAAATATACATTGGTTGTGTGTATTTCTTTTATTTTTTCAACATCATAAAATTGGTAAAATTATTTCAGCTCTCGTATAATTTTTCTCTTATTTTTTCTTATTTTTGTTTTTATAGTTCGTTACAATGTAAGGGCACAGTGATGATGTGACAAGGAGGAAAAGTATAATATCTATAAAGAGTTGATATTATTTTTTTTTTTGTATTACAATATCTGTTTTGTGTTTGTATTTTCTTAATTTCATCCTTATTCTATAAATTTTTTTTTGTCTTTTCGTTACAAAAAGGATAACAAAGAAATTATAACGTATTGAAAGAATTTTATATTATATTATAGGTATAGAAATGTCGAAGAGTCTTACAGAGATATAGAAACGAAAAACAAAGAAATAGAAAAAAAAAGGATCAAATACAGCCAAAAAGGAAATGTTTACTTGCCTTAATTTGAAAACATTATACGTGACCAGAAATCAAAAATTGAATAGGTTTCTTTATTTTTTTATTTTTAATTTTTCAATTTTTTCTAAATACATGCATATTTTATGTTATTTTTTATTTACTTTTATAATATAGTATATTATTTTTATTTTTTACTTTACTGGTTATATTGTAATAAAAATTATTTTTTATATTATAGCGTATAATTCTAATTTAATATGAAATTCTGTAAAATTTTATTTTCATCAATTCATTAAACAAGAAATTGTTTAAAAAATAATATAGAATAATATTAGAAATTGAATGTATGTATAAATTTTGCATATAAAAAATTCGTAAGTTTCGCGGATATCGTCCGAGACAAAAAAAAAAAAATGTCTGTACATAATGGTTTCTGAATTTTTTTCCAAGTTACGAAGCAAAGCTCATATTTTATTCATTTAAAATTGCATAATATACATTAATTTGTAGATTAGGATAAGATATTTAACATTCGGAATCATAAAATCAGATTTAGATCAGAAATCAGATTTAAATTTTTTACTTTATTACGCCTTTTCAATTGCTTGTAATATGCTATTGATATGCCTTCATTGCTAATTACTATGTCTTTCAAAAGGGGAAAACTAAATCCTTACATCGTTTTCCATTAAATTGTGCTCATATATGATTTAATCGAAAATTTCAAATACATATTATAAGAGAAGTATAATTAATTATACTGAAAAAAATGAAAACATATTTTTAAACAAAATTGAAATTGTCATCTTCTTGTCTCATTATTCTTACAAACATTTATAATTGTCTATCATATTATTTAAAAACAATTTCTAAAATTTCTTGAAAGAAACCATATTTCTCAGTTTAGATTAGTACCTAAAAAATATTTAAAAATTAAAAAAAACAATAGATATTTTACTTCATAAAAGTTCAACTACTTTTCATTTTATTTTGAGATGCCTACAAAACTAAATACACATATTATATTTCCACATTTATACGAATTTAAATAAAATTTTATAAATGAACAAAAATGCAAATTACAATATAAATAATTGTAAAACTTCAACCAAAAAAAAAAAAAAACAAATCAATTTCATTTCTAACTAAAGTGAATCAATTGAATTGACTCCAATTTAAAGTTTAAATTATTTTTAATTTTCTATTTCCAGGCTTGTTTTAAAGCTTTACGAGCTGATAAATATTTAACAAAAAATGAGCTAGATGTTAATACAATCAATACAACTGAAATTAAAAAGTAATCAAAATCCTCTTTTAATAAATCAAACGTTTTTGATGGTGACACGCGTGTAACAAACAGATCTGAAAAAAAAGGCATCAAAAAAATAAATAAAATAATATTTTATTTTCTTTTGTTTTACCTAAACCATAAGCAACTACCAAACAAGTACTTTCAAGACCACTGGGCGAGGTATAAATATTTCTAATACGACTTATTGTCTGATTATAATTTATTATTTGTTCTGATGGTAATGGTAATTCTGGAATGTATGGTATAGAACCTTCTTCACGATTTTTTTGTGATGTCGGACGACGTGGATCTAATAGGGCCCATGGCATTTCTATAATACCACCACTAGATGTTCCAACTGTATATATAAATTAATATATGTACAATTTTATGTTTTGTTATTTTCAAAAAAAAAAATAACTCTTACTTAATATATCTTTATTTGTAATACCACGTTCTGTAATTGTTTCTTTCATAGCCTCTACAATTGTTGGTATTATATATGATTGTTTTTCAATTAAAGGCATAGGTGGAGCATCTAAAGAACTCCAAACAGTACTATTTGCTTGAACTTTTCCTTCATATAGTTCAATAGTAGCTAAAATTAATTGAGTTGTTTTATCATTTATATACAAAAATCAATTTTTTCAATATTAATTACTTATTTCAGTTCTACGAACTTTATCATTATAATACGAATAAACTAGCCAGTTTTCTGAATGTACTATATGAACTGGTTCACGTGCCTTTTTATGGGTCAACGAATAAACAACAGATCCAGAAACAACATCAACTAAATGCACGTTTAATACATCTGAAAATAAAATTTAAAAAAAAAAAAAAGACAAATATTAAACTATCATTAAAAAAAAAGTAAAAACAAATATTAATTTTTATTGTAGACGTATAATTCATCTTCAATTAAATTTTTCATTTAAACAGTCACTGAATCAAGTGCCTGCTACATACATATATCCAGATTAAACTATCCAAATATAGTATTTTCTACAGTAGGATTGTTATCTAAGCCGAAAAAAAAATTGTTGTATAAAAAGATTATATTAGTTAACATACAACTACCTAATAAAAGGTTGTACCCATAATAAAGTAAATATTAAAATAAAAATTTTTTTTTGCAAGTTCAAGAAAATTATTATTTAAATAAGATTTCAAATAACTACTGCTAAATATAACTTTAATTGCAATATTTATGTAGATAGCTTTGTACCAAAGGAATAATAAAAAATGTAAATTACATGATCTTTTAAATTGAACATCAACGCTAAAAATTAAAGTTTATCTAAATTACAACTATTATTACTTAAGTTTATAATTTTGATATGATTTATTAACTATTTACACTCGAAAAATTCAAAGATATAACAAAGACAGAACACACGACATTACGAACACACGAAAAATATTGTAACTTATCATATTTAACTTTGAAAATTTAAGCTAACAATTTATCTTTAATAATAATATTGTAAAAGAAGATTTCTTTAAACAAATTTTTATGAACAAATAAATAAATATATGTATCATATGTATGTACTTTATGATATCAAAATTATGAAATAAATTCAACATGATAAGAACAAAAAGTAGAATGAAATCCACATATTTAATGAATTTAATTTAAATTGCAAATTTTTTATTAATATAAAAAGCTAAAAGTTTCACGATTTTAATTTATTTTAAAAGTGTACGTAGCTTTAAAGTGACCAATTTAAATTAAGATAATATCAAAGATTTTTGCATTATAATTTTAAATTATTGTTGAAATGGCATCAGAAACAGTAGATAAAAATTGCATTAATATTTCAGACAGTTCCAATAATAACGTTGACCTTGAATATGATACTAATCAAATACCGGAATGGTTAAACAAGGATTATATGGAAAATATATTGAAAATATACAAAAATGATAAATCATTAAAGATCACATCATTTAAAGTAAAACCTGCATTGGGAAAAGGTGAAAATTTTGGTGGGGTTATGACCAGAATACAATTACAATATATTTGTAAATGCAGTAAATCATTGAAGGATGGATACTATATTGCAAAGAGTTCATTTGAAGGTAATTTAAATTAATTATAAAATATAAATAAAATAAAATAAATAAAAAATAAATAAAATAAATAAAAAATTATCGCTAGATGATGCATTTTCAATGGAAAAAATGAAAGATTATGATATATTTAATCGTGAAATCGATATTTATCAAAATATTTTACCTAAACTACGTGAATATTTAAATGAAATAAATGATAAAGAAATCATTTTTCCAACAACAATTTATGTTGATTATAAAAATTCTGGAATTTTATTTGAAGATCTCTCCGTTGAATCTTTTATTATGCCTGATCGTACAAAAGGCCTTGATGAAGCTCATATAAAATTAGCATTACGAAAATTGGCAAAATTGCATGCAACATCAGCTGTATTAAATGAACGTGAACCAAATTCATTTAAAACATATGATCGGGGATTTTTTAATAGACATACAAATTCATATGCAAGTTTTTTTGAAAATAATTTAAGAATTTGTGGTGAAACTGTTAAAAAATTCGGTCCAGAATATATAAAATATAGTGAAAAAATTGAAAAATTAGTACCACAATTAATGGACATTGGACGAAAATTATTTGATGTACAAGAACATGAATTCAATTCATTTGTACACGGTGATTTTTGGGTGAATAATTTATTGTATAAATATGACGAAAAACAAATTAATAAGCCATTAGAAGCTATTATCTTAGATTATCAGTATAGTTTCTATGGTTCATCCGTACTCGATTTACTTTATTTTATGAATACATCTATGAAAGAAGAATTGAGATTATCAGAAGAAGATAAATATATACAATACTATTATAATTTTCTGGTTGAAACATTAAAAAAACTTAAGTTCAATGGTAAAATTCCCACCCTACATGAATTTCATATTCAATACATTACAAAAGAGTTCTTTGGTAAGTTGTTTTTATCAATTGTCAGATATATGCTTTTTTTAAAAATAATTTTCTTTTACTCAGCTTTTCATTCAAGCTGTGTTATTCAACCAGTAATGCTTAACGAAGAGACAGAAGATGCTGATTTTAATGCTTTAATGGCCGAAGATGAAAGGGCTTTTAATTTTAAGAGAACCATCTACAAAAACAAAAGGGTGGTACAGAATTTAAAGAAATTATTACCCCACTTTGACAGAAGGGGTATTCTTGATACAAAACTTGAAAATTTATAAATTGGAAGCAAATAATATTCAAAAATGATCAACTACACTTTCATGATACTATAAACGAATAAAGTAAATTAATATTTATTCTAATCTATAGCCTGTGAAATATAATCATAAACTACAAAACAACTTAAACGTATTGATTACGTCTGCAAAAATTACTACATAACTTAATAAAAAGAAATATTTTACTATACTTACATTTATGAATACTATCCAAACCTTGTGTAACGACTGCTACTAAATTTGGATTAATGTACTTATATAAAACCGATCTATCACCAAGTACACGTCCTTGAGAGTGAACGTTTTCTATAGGATTTTTAACTGAAATAGTTAAAATTCTATGATTATTTCCGTGACCGCCCAAATTAACACTCCAAATGGTGGTTGCTTTCAAAATCTAAAAATGAAGAAAACAAACATTTTATAAAAAATTTTCCATAAAAATTTTTTCATATCATATTTATATATTAATACCCCTTTCACTAATTGTATATTATATCCCGTTAAAATTGATGCTTTTGTGTTAGCTACAAACATATACATTCCATCAGCCATTTCTTTGGTATTCTCTGGTATCACATGAATTCTATTGTATTCATCTAACAATAATAATCCTTTCACAAACTGAACATTTTCGTTATCCCTAAGTAGGCCTAATTGCTTTATTTTATAATTTAATTCATTCAATCCGTTGTCAATTGGTTGGCCATTTATAGGATTAAATCGAAAAATGAGTCCATTATCTGAATTCTAAAAATAAATATATTACAATGTTATAAAATAGGAAGAACATTAGGCACATAAACGTTATCATACTTTCTGTTTTCCAACAATAACACAAATTGGATGATGCGGAAATTGTTTTGCTGTTCTTTGAACAAGCAATTTCATAGGTTCCCTATCATTAAAACTTTCTAAAGATGGCACGTATTTTTGCCAGTGTAGTTTTCCATTTAAATTATCCATAGCAAAAATTTTTCCACTTTTTGTAAGTATCAACAAAATTTTGTGTAGGCCAAATGCATCACGAGTTAGTCCAGCTTTCTGATTAGGTGTTAATACAGATCCTATTCCCAAAATACTCAAAAATGCATTTTTCAATAGAGACACTTGAGATGTAATTCGACGTACAAATGCACCGCTTATATCCCCTAAAAAAATTTACAAAACTTAATATCAATTTTTTACCATTACTTTTTAAATGTGCCAACATAAAACGAAAACTGTGAAATTTTCTAACTGAAATATATCATTAGAAATAAAAGTAAAATAATAAAAAATCAAAAAATAACTAAGCACACAAAAAGCAATAAATTAATAATAATTCTATAGTTTGTCACAGCCTTTTATAAAGCATTTGCAGCTTTTAATTCATATAATAAGGCTAATCAAATGTTTCAAAAGCGTATTTTAAATCGCTTTATGGCAAACTGATTTTGAACACATTGCAATTTGTTGAAAATAAGAGCCAGATATTTTATTTTTGTAAAAGAACAACGAGTATATAATTCTTTGGTTATTTATCGATGTAACTATATAATTATGTTGATATAATTATGTACAAAAGTAAAAGTTAAAAATTTTATAAGAGGATTAACGAGTTTTAGCTGTCTTGTGAAGCTTGTACTCATTTAAATTTAACAATAAACAAATTCCAAAATAAAAACAAAAAAAATATTCTTTAAACATAAATACTTAAAGATTAAAATTTTGCTTTCACAACTAAAAAGTGAACATCAATAGTGCTAAATTTTAAGAATAAGTACTTGCTCTTATTTACTCACAATCATATCCAAGATCCTCTGCATGACAATTAAAAAAGTTTTTTTATTCCATCAATATTTTGAAAATTATAAGCAAAATAAATTTTATATAAGTACCTACCTGGTTTGCTTGTGAATTCACTTTCAATAAGACCTTCGGAGTCGGTGATAGGTAAATCAATTAGTTCAGTCGCGACAATATTAGTAATTGATTCCTCTCTGACCCAACGGATTTTATCTTTAATAAAATTTAAAACCATTTCTTAAGAAACAAGTTTTTGTACAAATTTTTTTTTACCTTGATGTGTAAACAATAAGGCTCCATCTTCAGTTGAAATTACTGCATTGCAGATTTTGTCATGATCCCTAGTTTTTCTACAAAATATGTCTAAAATTTCAGGCGGGCCGTAGTAATCGGGATATTCTATAGAAAACTGCAATTCATCAATTCTGTCACAACTTTTGGCGTTAACAACAAGCAATTTTAACAAACTTTCATTTAACTTAGTATAAGCAAGCATCGATTGATCATTAAACGAAAATGGTACAATACTATTAGCACTAATTTCGCACCCGTTTTCTATGTTGTTTAAATTTACCAAGTTCCCATCAACTATAAGTACTCCAGATTTACCCTGAAATTAAAGCAATATTTTATTTTTATTATTATGGTCAATTATTATTAATTTTGAATTTACTTTCACAACTTTTGGAACTTCTTTTATATCTTCGGTTAAAAATTTTCTGAGAACTTGAGTTTGCTCAGAAATCAAATCTAAATATATTATCTGATTCTTTTCAATACAAACGTAATATGAACCAGCTAGTACACATTTCCCTTCTTGTATCCATGGAGCAGATATTTTAAATGAATTCCCTTGTCCTGAGGAAGCAAAATACTTTGTAATTTCTAAATGTGAGGTCCAAAAGGGCATCACGTGATATAAATAATATTCATCATAAAACCATGCAGATGCTTCGGCCTTATCAGCTTGAATTGGCATTAGAGACCATTCAAATTCTAGATTACCGGTACCCGCAGACCACCCACGTACTATAGCCGGAGCAACTCCAGTTATTGTAATCATATCATAAACAATATTTGATTGACGAGAAACTGGAGCATTTGATGAAGATTCTTCATTTACAAATTGAAATAGTTTTACATCTCCGCGAGGAGAATTCTCTAATATCTGCCTCCATTGAATTTCACCCGTACGTGTGGAAAGTGCAGCCAAAACATTTTCCTCAGTCGTTACAATTAATCGATTATTACTTAAAATAGGATCAAATACAACATTTTTCACCCTACCAATATTCAATTTTCTCCTGGAAATAAATTAAAGGTTAATTACACGTAATTTTACCATTAAAAGTTAGTCAAATCATCTTTACCAATCAAATTTTTTTATTTGATCTTCATAAAGTCCATCAATTCTTCCTAGAACTAATAAGAAACTAATTAAACTAATTATTATTTTAGAACAACTGCAATAATTCATTTTAATATAATTTTTAATTTAAAAAATTCATTTGAACAAAAAGTAAGGATTTTCTATTAAAATGTATTTTAGATACAAATAAAATAGTGACATCTCTTTTGTCACATTATTTTTTGACATTACATAAAAGTGTTGTCGTTATACAGAATAGGCTCATTGCACTGGTTGTAGAACAACATTTTGTGCACGATCCACTTTTATGTATTATTTTATTTAAAATATAAATGTGATAGGTATTAATATTTTAATTTAGAACATTTACATTATGTAAAATCAATTTTCCCCGTATTTTTATATTATATAAAAAATATACAAATTGCAGGTATATGAAAATTAAAAAGACTACTCGAAAATACAAAATAACAGAATGTTGGGGTAAAACCAAATTTTAAAAGTTACTTTTTTTTTGTAATTTTATTATTGTTCTTGCCGCAAAAATTTGATTTGAAAGAATTAATTGCTTAAATTTTTAAATAAATGAAGGTTTATATAGCAAAAGAAAACACTTTCTCAACAGTAACCTTTTTAATTCATTATTTAAATCCCCAAGACATTAAATTTTTACTGATTTTGTCTAAACTTTTAATGATAACTTTTTTTTGTCATGTTATTTTATAATTGTGATACAGCTTGCAGTGAAAATTACCGTTAAAATGCAACTAAACAGAATCAAATTGTTATCAAATAGGTGCCTTCTCATATTCTTACCTAATAGGAAAAAATGTTTACTAACGAAGAATATAAATTACAGGTATGTACATATGTACTTGATTTTAAACTAATCTAGTACTAAATCGAACAATTCAATTATTCGGAATCACTGCTAAAAAATCAAAGGCACTTTTAAATTAGCTTTTTATAATAAATATTTGTTTACTTATTTTACTCTTTTATAAAGCTCAATACCGGTTAACAATCTTCTAAAAAGTTTTTTATTTACACATATGTACACAATGCTACTCATGATACCTAACCTAACCTACCTACCTTCAAGCTTTTTAATTCAATGAATACACAAACTCCATCATATTACAAATTTCCAGATACAAAAATTTTTTTAGTTTCATATTTTTTGTTCTGTATATTTGAAAATAAATTGAATGTCATATTAGTTTGAATTTAACTATCGGATCGATATGACAAGAATTACGGGTTTAAACGAAGTTTTATAAAAAAAAAAAAAAGAAAAATAAAAATTAAGTTTAATAATAAAAAATTTAATATTATTTTTTTTATTTTACGGGTTTCCTTATTTATAATGTTTAACTACATAAGTGTTTAATAATATAAAAATTATAATTTAAAAAAATTATTTTGAAATAATCATTACATATTATTTGCATTTTATATTTTATTTCTGTTTTACTACTATTATTATCTACTACATATTTGGAACAAGGTTAGTTTGGATTACATACATACATATTTTTTTTGAATAAGAATTTGTATGCATAGAAACTTTTTATAAAAGACAGTAAAATAAACATAAGTAATAAGACATACAATTGACAAAAATAGAAATAAATATTTAAAAAAAAAAATGTGCAAATTGTACGCACACATAAGTATGTTCGTTAATATATACATATGTATGTATGTTGGTACATCCAACATAAAGGTAGTTAATAAAAAATCGCATGTTAATTTTCTAATCTATCTGAAAAAATTGATCAAAAAATTATGCTGTATGTTGTTTGTAAGATTTATTTACATTGGTTCTTTAAAAACATACATTTATACCCGCTTATGCATGTACATATATGGGGTGTACATGCATATTTAGATATGCAAGCAGAAAACCACTTAAACCACTTAAAGGTATTGCCCTTTATCGTAATACCTAAAACGTAACCATATATGTGCATATAATAATGTTGAGTTTTTTTTATATTATTGTTAGTTATAAATATCAATACTCCACTAATAACACTAATAACATTCATGAATTTGGATATATATTTACGTAGATACCTACTTATCTAAATATTATTTATACACAATTGTATGTATATAAACGACATACATACGACATAATAAATATGACTGAATATGGGGTGAGTGAAATAATCCAATAGGGAATGTTAAAATTATGACGTGATCAAATACATACAAACATAAATTGACCAAAATAATGAATAATAAAAATTGTTAATTAATTTTTTTTTCAAGATTTCCACTTTATTATAAGTATGTATTGAAAGCATATTTAGCCCTTATATTCAGCAATTTAATAAAATGTGTAGCTTATTATTACTATTATGTTTTGATTTCTTATTTCATAGTAGCCTGTAGGTATATAATACAATATCGGTTCTTTATCAAACAATTGAGTATTATGATTATGAGTGCACATACTTACATAAGTATATGTAAGTAAATACTTGCATAATAATATAAAATAATAAATATAGAGAGTTTGTTTTAATTTTTAATGTTACAAAGGCATAATGTTGTGATAACTACAGAATACTTCAATTCCATTATTGTGAATTAATACAAGCGGATGTTTTAAAAACGCCTTAGTGACAATCTGTAAATTAAATCTAATTATTTTTGTTACTTTCAGAAAATCATTATAAAATTTAAAATCATCATCTTTGAATAATCTTAAGTATTAAATTCATAAAAACAATATTGTTTTAATTGTGGAGCTCTTATCATTAGAAATACTCCAAATTGATTGTGGTATACCGTTTAACTACTTAGAAGAAGCATTATAAAATAAAAGTATTTTTCATAACATTAAATGAATTGTAAAAAAATAAGCCATAAAAAATAACGGTATTGCATCAAATAAAAATTGTACACATCTTAAAATTATAACAAATTCGCAATATTTTGAGATTATTTAAGAAAAAAAAAAAATTTTTTTTGTCAAGGTCTCAAATAATCAATTAGAAATAAAATGCTGTAATAAACTGGTTTTATTATAAATATACATAAAGTGACTATTCCATACAAACTTTCTTGCCATACGACAATATGTGTGTGTACATTCATACAATAATATTGTATGCTACTATAATATATGTTTGTACATGATGTTTATTTCATTATTTTTTTAGACGATGATTTTTTTTCTGTTCAGCAACATTTTTAGTGTAAACCTCATGCATACGTTAGCTGTAATGTGGAACGTAACTACATACATTATAATCTCTACAATCTACGTAGCTTAACGTAACGTTAATAGCAGATAATTTTTGCTAAAAAAATTTCATTTAATATTTTTATTTTTAAAAACTGGTCTCACTATAACTCAACAACATATTAAATGTTTTTAATTAAAATTAGTGTGACGAACTTTGCTGTAATGCACTTACACAATAGCAAAAATATTATTTTATAATTTTGCAATATTTGTGTATAATTTTGCAATATAAGTGTACTCGTCGCACACAAAAAAAAAAAAAATTGAAAAATATTGTTACTTAAAATTCACAAATTATGACTACCTATATAATTAAATTTTTCATACATAAATATACATACACATGTATATTTACATTCAAATTTTTTGAATGAATAATCCATATATAAGCAAATACCTACTTTAAATATTTATAGCTTCTATTGAAGAGTCATTAAGTACTGTGCAATGTTTCAAGTTAAATTATTGTTCAGTATAGGAAAATAAATTTTAAATAAAATTTTTAAATTAGCCGCCGGCAAAATACTATATGTAACATGCTATACGTTCTCACTTAACAGTATTGTACTTTAAAGTTGGATAAAACCAATTGTTTGTAAGGTAGCAAACTCGTAGCACATTCCCTTTCAACAAGTGAAAATATTGCTGTTAAAAACAATCAAGCTATGTACTGCATTATTAAAATTATTTGAATTCATGTGCGAATGTATTTCATACCTTTAGGATGAGCAATGTATGCAACCACTAAAATAGAACCAAACAAAATTGAAAGAAGAATCAACGTAATACTTAAATTTAATATGTTTACAAAATTATCTTACCTAGTCTTGTAAAATTTCGACAAAACTGCTCTTTTGTGTTATCCTTGACTTTGAATCTATTTAAAATAATCAACTTTGTTATATGTGAATATTTTCAACTATATTATTCCAATTATTTTTTTCATTGTTGTTTGATTTAAATTCTGCCCCGTTCGCAACAAATTCGTTCTCTCAAATTAATGATTTCATGTTATCCAAAGCTGTACTTTTTAAAAACATTTAAAATCCTCTGTATTTTTAGGAATTTGTGTACGTTTGCACGTTTCATTTCACAAATAAAAAAATTCATCAAAATAGTTCGAATTTCTTTTATAATTTTCACTGTTTCCATATTTCTTGCATAAGTTGATTGTTATTATTTTCCTTAAAATTCCTTACATTATTTAATTTATTTTCATCAATTTTGTTATTAATTTCGTAATTTTAATTTAATTTTATTTATTTTTGTATTTTTCTATTCATGATGTTACTCTGATTGAAAAATATTTTATCCTCATACATAAATATTTGTAATTAAAATTTTTTTGAATATAATGTATGTACCTATACTAAAATTTGGTAGTTCATTTTCGAAATTTGTTCATATTAAATTTGGAATGAGTGTAGTAGAGAAAGTTCTGTGAGATATGAATTTGTTATTAAATTAGGTTAAAGTCTTAAAAACATTTTTCCAATTTGGATTTTTTGAATAGTAATTTAACCGCGAGGGTTGTAGCTAGTGGCGGTCGTCTTTTAGTCTGGACTCAGATCTGGATCTTACAAAATTTTGACATTTTTTGTTTATATACTAAAAAATAATGTGATTGAGTTCGAATCCAAATTTTACCAATTTTAAGAAAAATTGTACTTTTTTTTATTTTAAAGCTTTTTTTTGTAAAATAATTTTTTGAAAAAATAATTGTAATTTTTTGATATCTAGAGACATTTGTTCAAACCTTATTTACAATAAGGAAATTTTGTTGAGAATCAAATATATTAAATAAAAAAAAAAGAAATTTAATTTGGATAGCTGTGGAGGTGAAATAATTACCATGAATTTCGAGTTTGGACAGAAAATTACGAGTTATCAGTTTTGAACAATTTAAAGCATTTAAGAATATAAGAAAAAGAATTCTTATTTGGAAGAAGAGAGAATTTTATATGGAATTACCAAATTTATAAAGGCTGTAACAACTTTGAATGAAAGAAAATTTTAAAGAAAAAAAAGTTCAATTAAACAAACAAAATATTTCCAAGTTTTCAACTAGAGTGTGAAAACTTTTCGAAAGTGGGCCCTTCAAATAAAATATCTAAAGAACGTCATGTAGATAATTCAAATTCTCAAAAATTGCATTTACATACATATATATTTGTATTTATCAGAATAAGTGTATACTAATCTGCTTTAAAAATATTTCCATTTTAATATGAAAATACTAAAAATAAATTTCCAGCGCGCATCTGTATAAATTTTATAAACTGAAATTGAAACACGTTTTTAATATTTGCAAAGCTATTAGCTTGTATCTTCTTTTAAAAACAAAATACTTACTGGTTTTAAATTCTTTTCATAAATATTTAAAAAATATTTATTCAAATTGTTGAAATATGAACTTTTGATATTCAATATTTAAATATTAATTGATTTAGAAAAAAAACTTGATATTTTTTTAAAAATATTTTGTTCCAGACTCCAAGTGGACTAAATAATCAATGAATTATAAAGTTTTTCGTTTCACAAAATCAATAGAACAAATTGATATAAAATATAAAATATATTTTATACAACTAAGTATATTCATGTAAATGAGAAGAATAAGAGCAAAAATTTCTAATTGAGCAATTGAAATCAAATTGTATAATAAATGAAATTTCATCTTCGAGGACGCTTGTCTTTTATATCATCTTGTTCTAACAAACTAATGTAATAAGAGTGAACATGCATATAACCTTAGTTAACATTAAAATTAAAATTGAAATTTAAAAATTAATTTAGAAATTCTTTCTCTTCTTTACACAGAACAAATTAAACAAACCCATTAAACTCGTGTGCTTCTTATAATATGCAAAAATGCAAACGCTATTGTAAATTAAAAAGCGCAAAAATTTTTTAATATTGAATGAGTTTTGCATATTATTATGTATACATATGTATACATTCTATTATGTAGCATATCATATAAATTGAGTACATATGTATGTATATAGTTACCTACAAACTATAGATATACACTAGCATACAACATTTCCACTCATATAATATAAATTTTTATATATTATGTATACACAAGTATATCTTTTACATTTTGTACACAATAATATTTAGATATTTTATAATTAAATTATCTAATATGTACATATGTATATGTATATATATATATATGTACATACATTGTATATAAATTGATTGAACCGGTAATAATCTCAAAATTTATTCATATATGAGTG